TTGAAGACAATCCATAGCACGTTCATATAAGAAAACTAGCGTTTCTACAAGAGCACTGACCTTGGCTTGAGTTGCAGAGCTAACCCTCACTGTTTTGGCAAATCCATCTACAATTCTTCCGAGGCTACCTCGCATCACAGCGGCAACCGCTCCCGTCGTTGAACCATCAGTAAAAGAAGCGTCGATATTGATCTTCAGTACTCCCTGTTTCGGGTTTCGTCAAATCTGAGGTAAGTCTTGACCTTCAACAGCTTTTCCTTTTCCTAAATTGCTTCCTCATGCTTCATTATGCGTCAACTGAGCTAAGTTCACCGGCTTCTATGAATTTGGTTTTAGTTTTCGGAATATGAAATTGTTTCTTGAAATAAGCTTTGAGGTGAATCGTTTTATGTAAGATCGTGCGTGGCACAATACTCAACCCACACACAATTTAAATCTTTTATTAAAGAACCTCATTTGAGAAAATATTGTGTACAGCTGTGGTACCACATCATATTTACAATAAACCAATGAAAATATGACACATGTCACTCCAAATCCACATAGTAGAAATTTTAAGATTTGCTCTCTCAACTCTCTCTTTTAGTTACTTTTTCCTCTCTCTCTTTAGCACTAGTTTTTCTTCTTTCCTCGAGTCCGCCATGGCCCGAGCTCGAGCCTAAGGTTCATGGCCGCTTTGGCCATGGAGCTCGACCTCGAACCCGAAGCTTGGGGTAGCCTAGGTCGCTCAAGTTTCGAGCTCAGCCTGAAGCTCATGGCAATGGCCACTTGAGCTTTGAGCTCATGGCCATAGTGGCCCAAGCTTTGAACTCCTGTCCATGGCCGCTAGATGGAGATCTCGAGCCTACAGTTATAGAGCCACCTAAGCTCTGATATCTTGCCGCCATGGTGTCACTTGACCTCAAGCTCACGGAAGCCGTGGCCGCTGAAGAGAGGAAATCTTAAAATTTCTGACAAGTGAGCCTGTTGCAACACGTCGCACTCTGAATTGGTTATTATAAATACGATATGGCACAACAGTTACAGTTAAAATTCATAAGCTGGGATGGAATATGGACATTGGAGAGTAGGGATTTGTCTCCCAACTTCTAATTTTCTTATATGGATGATGAATCCTTTCAAGTTCTTGACAGAACGCATTGAGGAACAGTTCTTAGAAACCGTTCTTAGTGTCGAAGCCAAGACTCGACTCGGTTACTTTTGTTTCATAAAAGCAGGTTCAGGTTGTTGGCATTACCGGCAACATAGTATTGTCGCTCCAGGAAATTAAGCTTATGATACCATCTGCCTTTAGGTGCTTAATCCACCACAGATCAATGCATAAGCATGTCCTAAATCTAATTCAGTCGGGGTCTAGACTCTACAGTAGAAACATCTACAACTCGTGATGAAACAATGCAGATCGTTTATGCTAATAATTTGCCTCACTAGGGCATGATATCCACGTAATCGCCCTGGAACCGGCCAATAGCACTCCTTTTAAGTTCCGTGATTCCAGAGAACTGATAAGTGTCCTGTCTCACTTATAGGCTTCTTGGGCCGAGCGCTTGATCAACTACATACGTCCAGAAGAGCAGGGGAAACCAAGTGTTCCCAACTCAGTTGGGTGGCAAGTCGTTTAAGTCGGGCAAAGCCAAAAGTAGGGGGAGCACCAAGTAGCAGCCGTGGATCAAAACCATACAATCACACCTTGAGTGCAACCTCAGGCAACAGAATTATCGCACAAAACAGCCGAAAATGAATAAAACAGACACAGTTGAAAGTGCGAGTCTTATATATCGGTTAACAACTCTGTTTCTCTCTCCTTCACCAAAGGAAAACTGTACATACAATGATTTCTTCCAAAGATCAGTGACGTCGAATCCTCACCATCATCATCATACATTGAGGGGCCAAAATTTTTCCAGAATGCCAATCTAGATGCCACAAATGGTACGCCCAACAATAAAAGGACAGCAAATTGCATAAACCTATAAATCTACCTTCTTTTCAACAAATTCTGGACAGGGCTGCCAATTGGTGCCTTCTCCTCCCTGAAAGGTTGAGTTGATGCATCTGCGAGGCTTGGTAATCTTGGTGCACTACCCTTCCCTTTCTGGGCATTAGGTCCCACCACCTCTATCATATACTTCCACCCATCAACTGGTCTTCGCCGGCTAAATATGTGGCTCTTTATGAAACTGGCTATCTGCACAACAATTTCAATCCCATGTGAAGAAGAACTGAAAATGAGGAGCAAGAGTGAACTTTGAGGAAGAAGAGGTAGGGAGGGAGCCATAATTTTATGATTATTTATGTCAGAGGAAATATACTGCAGTCAACATATTAACAACAAGAAGCAGCCCATGTCCTGCATAGACTGCTTGATGACTGTAGATCCTTCATTTTTGGGGGAAAAATACACACTTCCTGCGATATTAAATCTAAGAAATGATAGAAATGATGAGGTAAGATCCTGATTTGGTAGGATCCTTTGACAGTATCAGATCTTAGTCCAAAAGTCATGGGATGGGTACGATATGTCCTCTCGCCAATCTTTAAGGTCATCACATATATAAATTACAACAAACCACGGTGCAGAATTTGAAATGCGAAAGAACAGTAGATGGCATTTGGAATTACTTCATGATGATGCAACTGGTCTCCATAGTACTGTTTTTCCTACAAGATTTGTACTTTACTGGCAAATGCTTCCATATTAACATGCAATGGCGATGGATTTCAAACTAGAATAGACAGTTATGACACTGACAAACTGACAAACCTGAAATTTGCTGTATGCAATACGGCGCTCAAATTCTTGGAGTAGAATATCTTCCTCCCTCTGTGACATTTCCCACACATTTTCATCTTGAGACTTGGATGTGGTTTCCCAACCATCAGGCTTGTTTTTAAACTCAGAAGAGCCCAATAAGTTTGTTGAATTCCAATCACAACTAGGAGAGTCAAAAATCCTGCAATTTATTTTAAGTGCACAGAAGATAAGTTTATGCTCTAGGAAACTTCAGGATTTTATATGCTAGGATTCAGCATAAAGTACAGTGAATATGATGCTCCCATTGCTTCGTGCTTTCTTTAGCGGCTACATGATCAATCAGATAATTACCGACATGGACCAAAAATCACAGTAAAGACCAGAGAAGACCTCACAACAGGGTATAACCAAAACAATATATTCTTTTCTTCACAACCATAACACCATATAAGGTTCAGTAAATTTAAGCCTCAAATCAATTTCACCAGATAATCTGAATTGGCTTTCATGTATATTGTCCTTTAAAAAGTGGCAACTTCAAAAGCAGGAGTTGCAAACTGGCACAAAAGATGATCCTCCTATTTGGAAAAAGTCAAGTTCTCTTAGACAACTGTCATGAAAAACATCTTATATAAAAGACCCCCACCCCAGATACATCAACCATAATTTCAAAACATTAAACTTACCAAAGATGCAACACTAAAATAACTGAAGCCAATATGCCAAATAATTCTTTCAAAAACAGATGCAACCCTTGAACAGACAAGACACAGAGCTAGTGCTAGAGTGTTTACAAGCCATCCAAAAGACGTACGTTTCAGAACTTAATCCCATGGCCTTTGTGCATCCTTATAAACTTGAGAGAGATTCACCTAATTGTCACATTAGCAGCTCGATTCTCAGAGACGTCAGGATACCACGTCAATTTCACTAGCGAGAACATCTGCAGAGAGCGCTTATATCCAATTGAACTACAAATGAAACCCAGAGAAGAGAGAACCGCTTCCTCCCGAACCTCATTTTTCTCAGTCATCTCTGGAGCTAATTCCAAGCTAATGCCTATGTCTAACACAAATTCGCAAGTCCTTAGGAATAAACTAAAGGTGGCAGCCTCTAAACATAACCTCTGTTGCTTGTGCCAGCAAATTCATATATTTTCAACAACTAATAACGCAATGCAATGTGTTCAAGATCCCCTCACACTTCAATGAACCAATCATACCAAAAGCACAATCCGATGCACCAAACGCCAACACAGATAGAGAGAGACAAACCAGAGACCGAAGGGAAATGCGAAAAAAGAGTTAAGAACATACTCGGAAGCGGTATGAAGCAATCTCTCGATGTCATCTCCAGCACCGAGCTTGGCCTCCTCCTGCTTCTCAATCTCCTTCACCCACAGTCCCGCGTGTATCCTCTGCTTCTTCAACCGATAATCCTTCTTAATATTCTCCAAGCTGTACAGCGAAGAATCCGCTGCCCCTCCCTCGCTCCTCTGCTTCTCACGTTGCCTCACCTCCTTGCTCTTCGACACCTTGCTCCTCTCCTCCCAGTTCTCGTTCATGTCCTCCACGAACGCCTTCGTCTCGGCGTCCGCGTCCGACGGCAGGACGACGGCCGGGGAGGAAGGGCCCGACGACGGGAAGTTGACGTCGCTCTCCCACGGCGCCCGGTTCGCGGACGACAGGTCGTCCGGCAGCCACGCCGTCTCCCAAGCGTCCTTCCATTCGTCGCCGCCGCCGCCGTTCTTGGTGGATAGTGCTCTGGCGGCGGAAACGTAGCCGAGGGCCGACCGGAGCGCGAGGAATCGAGCAGGATCCGGTGATCCGAGCGTCGGTTTCGCGAGTCGTCGAAGAGCGTGCATGGTTAGGTTTCCAGCAGAGACTTGGTGGAAGGGATGGCAGGAGGAAGACGATGATGAAGAAGACCGAAGATTTCTCGCAGAAGTTTCGGCCCGGCCCGGATCGGCCCATTTCTGACCCACTCGTGGCCCATATTCGCGAACAAACGGAGCCTGAGACTAAAAGGCCAATGACACGACAGCTCATTCTGTGGATACAGAAGCTCGGCCCGCTTTTGTAATCCTCATTGGGCCTAGGCCCATTGTATTACAACGCGGGTGTTCCCGGCCCATCTCGTGTCCAGGAGCAGATGAGTGTTCCTCTTAAAAGCCCACGTCCTGCATTTTCTTCTGGGCCTAAGCCCATTAGAGGGGTTTCTCCTAAGACTTCTAATACCCGTTCATAATAAAGAAGGAAAAACCCTAGAAGATACTTTTGCCCGGATCCCCTCTCCGCTCGCCGCTCGCCGAAGAAGAAGAAGGAGAAGAGCCGCCACCGCAGCAGCAGGCGAGGCGCCGCCGAGGCCGAATCCGTCCGCCATGGGTCGCATGCACAGCCGCGGGTACGTTTCTGCAATCCGTACGTTTCTCCGATCATCTGTTCGCTTTGGTTCGGATGAACAAGTGCCCGGTTCGTCATCTTTTGCAGTAAGGGCATCTCAGCCTCGGCGCTTCCTTACAAGAGGACTCCTCCGAGCTGGCTCAAGATCTCATCTCAGGACGTGAGTTGAATCTCTCTCTCTTCTTCTTCATCATTCGTGTGAGTTGAAATGCTTTGGTTTTGCGGTTTCGCGTGAGATGGACGGATTCGATTGCTGTAGGTCGAGGACAACATCTGCAAGTTCGCGAAGAAAGGTTTGACGCCGTCGCAGATCGGTGTCATCCTTCGTGACTCTCACGGGATTGCCCAGGTGAAGAGCGTCGCGGGGAGCAAGATTCTGCGCATCCTCAAGGCTCACGGTAGCGACTGATTACGATTGCTTTTCCATTCTCGTTGTATTTGTGAAGTGAATTTGCCTTTTAGTGTATGGATTTCCAGATGTACGGAAGTAACTCTCTCTATATGCTATGTAGTACTTAAAGTTGTAAGCTTGATGACTTTGGCGGCTTAATCCAGTTAAGCACAGCTTTAAGAAAGAGGAGATAAGTTAGTTCTTGGAGCTTGTTATGATGTTGTGGTCCCCAAAATCATCCTGAAAACTCCTGTTCGATCGGATTAGAAAGTCAATTTTTGGAATCCGGTGCATGTTTTTGTCTTTGCTTAAGAGTCGGTATCGATTGTTTGAGAAGGCATTGGCTGATACTGCTTCTAACTAAACAGCACAAGTTGCTAGGCACACGGTTCCTTTTTTCGATGATTTGGTTTTGCTTTTCCAACAGGTCTTGCGCCCGAAATTCCTGAGGATCTCTACCACCTCATCAAGAAGGCAGTGTCCATCAGGAAGCATCTGGAGAGGAACAGGAAGGACAAAGATTCCAAGTTTAGGCTCATTCTCGTTGAGAGCAGGATCCATAGGCTCGCGCGCTACTACAAGAAGACCAAGAAGCTTCCTCCTGTCTGGAAATAGTAAGCTCGCTTGCTGATGTTTGACTCTTTTTGTCGAAATCTCTATGTTGCATGGTAGTAAGCACAATATCAAGTTCTGTTCTGTGTAGGTTGTGATTCTCTAATTTGTCACCATCTAGCAACTCTGACTGAAACAATGGGAATTAGTCTTCAGTAGTTTTTGACCAATTGACTCTTTTTTTCCTTGCTAGACCAATTGACTCTTTTTTCGCTAATATGAATCTAAGGCCTCAATACCTTTGCGACTTGGAGTGCTAGCTTGCCCTATGAGTCTGTTACGGATGTCTAAGTGTTCCATGACTCATGGTTGTAAATAGAATAGGTAAACCAAAATGGTCTGCAACTTAACAGTGGTTAATTTATCTTGACATTGAACTTTGAAGTTTTGGATGTCAGAATGGAGTCATTACGGACTATTGTCTCATGCCTGGTTACTCTTTTTAGTATAGATATACTTTCCTGCTAGTCTTGGTGTTTTCTAGTTTCTAGTTGTCTCCCGTTAAGGGCAGATTGGTTGAAAATTTCCTTCAAACTTCGTCTTTTGTCTAGTAATGTGCGTTCTCCTTTATCCTGTTTTCTATAAATTTACTGAATTTTATGATTTTATTTATCCCTTGTTTTATGTCTGTGTTGCAGCGAGTCTACAACTGCTAGCACTCTTGTGGCTTAAGTCGCATTTTGGACCATGAACCAGTTTTGATGTAGCTTTTGATTCTCTCTTACTCTCTCTCTCTCTCTCTCTTGCTCTCTCTCTTGCTCTTTGAGAATTCAATTTAGTTTGGATAAAAGTATATTTTTTATTGTACTCTGGGTGAGGATAGAGAGATGAGCTATGTTATGTTTTGACTATCATTTTCATTTTTATTGATTTTCAAATTGACCTGTGTAGCGTCGTCTCGGTGGTAATTGCTCAATTTTGATATAGCTTACTTCTAATTGCTTCACAAGTTGGAGCTCTCGTCTCGGTTCATTTGAAAAAATGATGAGGATATCCTTTTTTGAGAATGTCTTAGTTTAGTGGTAATTCAATGAGACGATCTCATGCTGGGGACCGTTTACAAATTACCAGCAGAACACAATAAGGAACGAGATGCTGTGAATAGTCATGTATTTTGTTGGTTGATGCATTGTAATGTAACACAACTGCTTTCCTTCGTTGGATTGATAGTGGTTAGTGTTATAGCAGCATCTGAGACACAGGTTTAAACAGTGTTATGTGGTCTGAACTACTCTGTTTCGTGATTCATAGTTGAATGTATGGTTGGGAGAATCGAAGTCGAGGCAGATCTGAAATGGTCTTCTTGCAGTTGTAAGTTCTAACTGGTGAAGTTGGGTGAATTTAGGTATAGGTACAGTGTTGTCACTCAAGCTGCAGAAGAAGCAAATCTGACACATCCATTATCAAATCCTTGACCGGGTAAATGTTTTCATTGTACACGAGAACGACAAGGCCGATAGACTTGATCGACTTTATTTAGCATTTGGAACCTTTGCCTCTATTTCCTTGAGAGCAAACTGAAGGTTCAGTCCTCGAGACGAGGCCCTCTTTTGAAAGTTCCACCCGGCTTGCGGATTCAGAAGCCAATGCTTGGGTGTTGTCCAACTTCGCCTTTATGCTCGTCGTCGGAATGGTTGGTGAAGCTCTTCGTCAGAATGGTCCGTGCATAAAACGGGACTGAGATCCAATATCTTCACGACAAGACGTCAAATGGATCATGCTTGAATTCGCAGTCATCTAGCCTGAAAAAGAGTCACTGATCTGTCTGACGTGCTAGAGGTGCCAAAGGTGAAAATGGCATGGTTGAATAAGGGTATATTTGGTTTAGCATTTGCAAAGGACTTTGGGGGCCAAATGCAAATAGTGTTTGACAAATTTTTTGGAGAATTTTGGGGGAATGCGAGGTCCGGAGGTATTTTGGTAAGTTGCGTTCTCGAAATGTCAGGCCACTATTCATCGCACTATTCATCTTCCTCGTGATTTACCTAGAGAAGCAGGAAATGTCAGGCCACTATTCATCGCACTATTCATCTTCCTCGTGATTTACCTAGAGAAGCAGGTCGGGAGGTCGTCGACCGCCATCGAGGGGTCGCGCGACCCAAGTAAGCCTTGGCCTGGGTTGCGCGATCTCAGGCAATCGTCGCCTGGGTCGCTCAACCCAGGCCGCCTGAGGTCGCCCGACCTCAAGCGAGGTTGGCTAGCGGCCAGATCTAGCCATCGGTGGTTGGCTGGTGACCATTTTGGACCGTCAATGGTTGAGTTCCAGCTGAGACTTTTTAAAAAAAGAATTAGCTAGAAGTTCTTTACAAAATATAGTTTTTACCAATTAATTTAAAGTTGTTTTCCAATGTGATTTTAAAATACACTTTAACAAATAATACTTGCATTTCGGAAAACCCTTTTAACTCAAAGATCTTTGTATTTTTCTAAGAACGTTCCTCCAAAGCCCAAACCAAACGGGCCCTAAGTACGATGAAAATGCAAGTGCACAAATGGATTCATTATTAAAGAATGCCTGTGGAATCAATCAAAGAGCAACACATCTTCAGGATAAAATAGGCAGTATTGATAGTTGCCCTATTTGGAGCCGACTGATGCCGCTGTTACCTGGAAACAAAAAACACCAAAATGGTTTTTTTATCACAAGGAATTTGATAAAAAAAAGATAATGAATTGGTATTATTGGCACTGTCAAGTTCTTCGGTCGTCAGAGTTAACTATCACGAGAATGAGCTGGCATTCCTTATTATGAACTTTCCTCCATCTTCAGACATTAATTCGGTAATATATGAGCGAGATTATAGTCATTAATTAGAACATCCTCTGATAACAGGTCTGTCATATTCAATCAGGAGATGATGAGGATGAATGCCTGCGCCGAGGTCTCTATTTTTGGTTCTCAAAGGGTCAAGAAATTCGACTTAGTTGTGCCTGATCAGTGTTTAGGTATACTTGTTACATCAAAACGGGCAAATTCTTGAAGCAGAAGCTGGTTCCTTGACAATTTGGCTTGCTGGTCAACAAACGATTGCTGTTATTTCCAAGTCCAGCACATATCTAAGAACGAATGCAACTAGTGAAAAAACTCACTTTCAGATGTTATAGCATCATTAAGGAACTTCACGTGCACTTCAGCTTCTCGAACCGATCTAATTTCTCCTGGCTCTGGATTGTACGATCTATTTCACCATACATCACAGCAAAGTGGATCAGGTACATTCGATCAATGCAGACCAAACCACAGCTGACTATCCAACTTTGAGGACGTGAGTACATTTTATAAACCCGATCTTATCCTGTGCTTCAGCTTGTTGCTGATCATTAAGCACTGCGACTTCTTCCTCGAGAGCCTGCGGAAAATATTAACATCAAAGTCAATAATTTTTGATTGATTAGCAGGTCAGCAACGAGCAAGAGTAGCAACCATAGATCAATTGATTTACCTGCATTCTGAAGGCAGTTGGACCGTCACCAATGAGTTTATCATAATCAAATGGAGGAACAATCCATCATGTAAAAAGCGGTGGAAAATGATGAGAATGAACTAAGCTTTCTCACTCTCTGTTCTTGTTTTCTGTTTCTCAGGAGGAGTATCATTAGACTTACTTTGTCATGGCTTCGAGCATTTGTGCTTCACACTTCACATGTTTGAGGCCTTGGCGCAAAACCTGTAAGCACGAATCATGACCCAGTACTGGAGAAATCGAACTCCATGGCCATTGTTTAATCTGAACTCATACTACTCAGTGCAAGTAACTAAAATATATAAAATACGGTTTCTGAAGAGAGAACTTTTACTCGCCTCTTGCTTTTCGACCAATTTGCAATTCAAGATAAATATCGTGAGGACAAGTCAAATTTAGATTGATCAGACAAGATAAAGAAGAGATCAAACGTATCTTCCTCGTGATACATCGGGTAGCTTGAGATATCGTAGAAAGACATCCTCGACACTGGGAGAAAGATCTTTTGTCTCGATAAATTATGACAAAGAAGAAAATTAAGGATGATAAGAGAAGAATTCACCACATAAAAGAACTTTATATTAATCGACGGTTGCTGCTAGCATAGCTAGTCAGTTGACATTCGTGCCACACAATGCTAATAACTCGTTGGCCTTCTTGACAACTCCATCTTGCGCTTTATATGACACATTTATCCTAAACTTTTTTATTTGTGGCATAAAAAATCTCAAAGTATGCCCACTCTGAAACAGGCCCAATTCCCTAAAAAACCCCCAACTTTACCCTTTGTCCCAATTATATCCCAAACTTTTTTTTGTCTTATAAAAAACCTCAAACTTTTACTTTTGTCCCAAATCTACCCAATTCACTTTTCGTCCAATTTTTTAATATTATTTTTTATTTTTTCAAATTTTTTTAATTTTTTATTTTCTTTTCTTTTTCCTTTCCTTTTCTTTTTTTTTTGTTTCACCTTTGGGCTGGTCGCCGGCGGGGGCGAGGCTCGGCCTCGCCGGCGTTAGGCGAGGCCGAGCCTCGCCGTGGCCGGCGAGGCTCGGTCCCGCCGGCGTTGGGCGAGGCCGAGCCTCGCCGTGGCTAGCGAGGCTCGGCCTCGCCGTTCTTCGGGCGGGGCCTCGCCCGTTGCGGCGGGGCCGACCTCGCGCCACCACGGCGAGGCTCGGCCCCGCCGGCTATTGGCGAGGTCGGCCTCGCCAGCGGCCGGCGTGGCCGAGTTGGAGGTTTTTTATAAGACAAAAAAAAGTTTGGGATATAATTGGGATAAAGGGTAAAGTTTGAGGTTTTTCAGGGAATTGGGCCCTCTGAAACATTATGTTTCTGACCCACTCGGGGCTCATATTTATAGCCCAACTTTCTCACGAAAGTGTGCTAAAAAAAATTAGGGGATAAAAACCGGTTTGGGTTTAACAGAACCCTCGGCCTATATTACAATCCGAGGATTTATCCCCAATTAACTCAAAATCAAAACCCGATAAGGTATTTACAAAGTTAAGCTTGCTTTTTGGAAGCTGGGTCAGTGAATGCAACTCGTAAACTTTAAAACATCACTCTTTGATCAGTCACATTTTCGAGTCTAACTTCATACTTTAATATGGTGAAGTCTTTGGATTATGTCCATTTGATCGTAAATTTCCATAATCTTCTGTTTTTGGGACTCTTGTAGAGTTTTCTCTTCTTCTTTTTTCAATGATCCAAAGGAACGGTATGAAAACCTAACTGCTTGAAAGCTCGTAAATCGATTATATCATGACAGATAGCTCCGATCTAGAGGAGTGCCATTGGTGGGACTTCAAACGAGCTTTTTGGCGTACAATTAACATTTCCTAAACTTCCTCATTTCTATTTCTAGCTTAGCCGCGTCATTTTCTATCGGGCCGTGCTCGGGTTCAGTGGCTCGTGACCTTTTTTTTTTTTTTGCCGCCATGCCGAGCCATTGTGTCGCCAAGTCCTGGACAGGTTGCCGCGCCGCCCATGAGCCGTCACCATCAAGCCGCGACCGCCGCCACGCGAGCCCAGCTCGTCTCACCCTCCCCTATGCAACTCGCAACCGCCACAATGAAGCTGGCGAACTCTCGCTAACCGCCGATCTGAGGTAGCACGGTCGGGGCTTTACGGGAATGTCTGTTTTCATTGAGAAATCTAATCGTGCTATTTGGAGATTCTTTCTCCGCGTGGTAATAACAATATCTCGGGGCTTCTATGATTAAAGTCAGTGATGCTAAAGTCATTCCATGTCAGTTTACACACATCCTTCACTTCATAAAGCTTTTAAAGAATTACAAGTTGTGGAGCGACTTCTAAGGCTCAAAGGAGAAAGCAACGTTATCCATAGAAGTCGTAAAGCAAGACCCATCCATGGCAACGCCTACCTAGGCCTACCTCCTGCACGTGAGAAATTTGACAACACTAGGCTCTTTTTAAAAGAGTGCAGAGATCATTTTCCTATCGAGAAGAGGTATCGTGAAGATCGCGAGGTTGACGGAGCAACCGCCGGTGACACTGGTTTGGATTGGGTGATGGACTGTGCAGGAAATGGCCAGAAAGAGACGGAGAAGGTTAGAACGCAGTCGCAGTCGAGCCAGGCTGGTTTATGAGTCACGAGACATGAGGAAGAAGATAGCCCCCACGTGTTCTCGATCCTAACATGCGCTGTCCTGCACGTACTCTCGTCCCTTTATTCGCGTTGGGTTTGGGATGTGATGTTGACCTCGACCCTACCCGTTTCTCCTCTTCGGATGGGGCAAGCACAACGGTGGACATCTCTATCAGAGGTGGAGGACTATTCTGCACCCCACGGCTGACATTCAGATTGGTTTTATCCGACGATGGACGACGATGACCGCAGGCACCTGGCATGAGCCCAGAAGCGCTGAGACGAATGCTCCGTGCACCGGAGACCCTTATCCATCGATGTTTTGTGAGCCATTGAAGCCCACAAGATGCTACTGTGTTTTCTTTTCTGGGGATGGACCATAAGATGCGCTCTTCACATTCCCTACGAAGTCGCGGTTATTACACTACAACCGTATGGTGTAATCCACATGTTTTGAACCTCGGTTGGGATCGAAACTAAATGGAACTGGTCCTTTTGTTTCGATGATTAAACTGAAATTAATCAAGGGCATCGAGCGGGAAAGATATGAGCAAAAAAAAGGAAAGAAAATCATCGGTCTTCCTTCATCTTCATAATCTAAGAGCTCAGGGGAACATCTGGCGAATTTACAAAAGAAAGAGAGAGGATGAAAGAGTGAAGGGAAAGTGAATCACTCGAAAACCAATCTCCATTTCCAACTTTCTTTTCTTCTTTTTTCCTCGTCTCATCTTACAGTCCTTATCGTTTTTCTAACCCTTAAACTGTCTGTTTCTTCTCTTTCACTAACGTCAAAGTCTAAATCAACCACTAATTAACCCACCACTCGGATGGGAAATTGAGCTCGGGCTGCAGAAGAGCGTAGTGATTAGCAGCCTCGTCCTCGAGCCCCCACGCCAAACCGTCGCACAAATCGATCGACCCTTGGCCTTCACCAGCGCCACCGCACAGCCCATCGTCGCCTTCCTCGACGCCGGCACCGTCGCCAGCTTCGCTGCTCTCCCTGCTGGGCAGCCCGAGCTCGTCGTCGGTGGCCTCGAGCAAGCGCCTCATCACCCTCTCTCCCTCGTCTCCTCCTCCTCCTCCGCCACCTCCTCCACCTGCGCCAGCGGGCGAAGGAGGAGAAGAAGCTGACGAGGAAGGGGCTTCCGCGTCGGCCTCTCCGGCGGAGGCGGCCAAAGGGTCGGAGGAGACGGAGGCGGCGAGCTCTTGCTGGAGGCTCGTGATGAGGGACGACAGGTCTTGGGCCGGCACGTCTTCCTCCTCCTCGAGGAGGGAGAGGATGTCCTTGTACGACCTTTGCCGCTTCTCCTCGCCTTCTTCACCGGGGGTCGCCTCTCTCTGGCGCTTCAGTGGCGACGTTTCCGCCATTAGAGACGGCTCCATCTTCCTTGGAGCCTTTTTCTGTGGACGAGCGAGAGGATGAGAGGGAGAGAGATTTTCAAGGTGGTGGTGAGAGTGCATGTGAGGAGAGGGAGGAGGGCAAGAAGTGAAGACAAAGTTATATAGAGGAGGAGGAGGAGGGAGGAGGAGGAGGAGGTCAAAATTGAGTGAAAAGGGTAGGCAAAAGAATATTTAATTTAATTTCGACCAGACATAAGAAAAATAATATTTAGTTTAATTTCAATATAATTTAGTGCAGGGGTTGTGGAAAAGAAAAAGGAAAAGGCAAAAGTGGGGGGAGCAAAAAGTGTTGTGCTCGGAACCTCATTGGTTCGAGGCACGCCATGTGTCGGTCCTGCACCGTTGGATACGAAATCTTCTCATCAACGGCTGCCGATCGATGAAGATGGTGCCGTGGAAAAAAGGACGATATCAGATGCTTGGGAGATGTTGACAAAGAAGATATAAATAAAAGCGAAAATAACACAAATAATTTATGAACTTTGGCCCAATATTCACTGTGATCATTAAATTTTTAATTTATTCAATGTAATCTCTAAACCTTAGTTAAATGTGTAAACTTTTAATTTGTTAAATGTTGTTCATGAACTTTTAATACATTATTAGTCTCTAAACTATATGAAAATATTCAATATTATCCATGATCTTGAATTAATGGAAGGACTACATTGAACATGTACTAAAAGTCCAGGGATCACAGTGAACAAATTAAAAGTTTAGTGACAACGTTATATATTAGGCAAAAGTTCAGCGATCATATTTAACAAATTAAAAGTTCAGGGACCACATTGCACTTTGAGTGAAAGGTTCGGAAACCATTTATGTCATTATCCCTAAATATAAAGAAATAATTTGATTTTCTAAAATATCGATAACACATGACACAAACTATACATTAAGAATAAGAAACCTTCTTTCTTTGGTATTTAACAGTAATAAAATCTTGGATAATTACATAATTATGTTGGATATATTAAAAGTAGTATTTATAGTCAGCACATTAACGTGAAAATTGTAAATAGAATATGCGAGCCCGTCATAACGCGATGCCTCATGACTTGATACATCGATCCTGTATAACAAACTTGGCATACACGGCATCCTTCAAATTAAAAATAGCGAATAAAAAAGGGACAAAAGATTAGTTTACATGAGATGGTACGGATAAATCTGGCGCCTAACAAGTATTACACATCAATTAGACATATAAAAAGAAATCGCAACTAGATGTTGTTTATTTATTTATGGTGTGTTTATTTCCCATAAGATCACTACGACGTGAAAAACATCTTTTTAAAAATAATCGCATATATCGCCCATAAAAATGAATGAATAAATAATATTTTCATCATTTATGAAATTATCTAGATTTAAATTATCATCGATTATAAAAAAATTTACAATTAATTAATTATTTCAAGTAATATAAATAATTTTTTTAAGAAAATATCTTTTAAGTTATTCATTTTTTTCTGTAAAATAAACGGAGCAAGGACGGGGACAAAGACACTAGGACATCTTTGAATGACGGTTGGCATCGAAATGTCCAAGGCAACTTGGTTTCTCGCCCACTTTCACGTGTTCATCCTCGTGTGATGTGGAAGGACTCGATGCCAAAAGGTGGTACTACCAACAAGTGGCGCATGAACAGACTTAACCCACTTGGACAAGCTCCCTTTTTTCTTTTTCTTTTTTTCTTTTTTGGGCCAACGACTTTGGATAAGATTCAATATTATTAGATATTCGAATCTCCAACGAAAATGACACTTCTAATATTTAGCATGAGGACTTTCGACCCCTCTTCACATCGTCCCACCTTCCGAGATAGTTAAAACGGGAAAAATTGTTTAAAAAATCTTGAATTTATTATATAGTTATCAATTCAATTCTAAATATTTCGATTGTGTTGATTTAATTAAACCTTTTATTGATTTGCTGCCTAAATATATGGCCTTGCAAAAAAGAGAAAGAAAAGAACAAAAAAAATCATAAAAGTTGCAAATTTTGGCTCTGTCAACGACGGCCATACAACATAGGATAGTTGACGAGGACTAGACTGCCAAGTTATCGACTTTCGATCAAAATTGACTAGGAAGACTAAATTGACAAATCGTAAAAAGGTTTGGGACTACATTGACATATCGTTAAAAAGGTTTATGACTGAATTGGCACAATTGAAAAATGCAAGGGCAGTCCATTTGATATACAGTGATGGCAAGCTCTGCGGATGCGCTCCTTATTTTAAGGTGCTGGTATCCGCACGACCTAACCCCCAGTTTCCCCTGTAACTCTGTTTTCTCTAGGGAAAGGGAATACTCTCTAGAAGTTTTTTATATCCCGATGATCTCGAGATACGAACAAAGACCAAGATGAAGCCTTTTAAGGACTTGCTTAGGTCCACAATTGAGTTATTATATTCCACCCATTAAAATGCAAGGGCTAGTCACTTAGAACCACCGAAGCTCTAGAGGTCCATAAGCTCGAACACCAATATGAAAATCGAGCACCACTATTGCAAGAGGATTCGAGTCCGTAACGTCATTGATGGGGGTTTATTGATCCCGTACTACTAGGGCTACCACCATCAATGGGAGCTGTGTGTGTAGATGTTGAAGAAAAAAAATGATCAAAGTGCACTTGAAATCCTAAAACTTATTACGAAAGTATAATCGATTCCTAAAATTTGTAAAAAGTGCAATTAAGTCTTAAAATTTGTCAAAATGGTTTATTTACGCTATATAAAGTCAAATTTTGAATCTAATGTCCACCACACGAAAATAGCCTATATACCTTGACATATAATATTATCTTAATGATTAAGGGTAGGTTAAAATTGTAATCTTACAGACGGGATTGGGCCAACGGATTTTTTCTTTTGCTGCCATTACGTGCACCACTATCATCGAAGATGGAGAGAAAACAAGAGAAAGTTCCATTGTAAAACTCGTTTTCCTCTAGCAAGAAAAGAGGTGGATTTGTTTTTCATTTCATTTTATTTCATTTTAAGCAAGAGCTTATTTATTTACCTTTAAGGACACCATAGAACAATCATCTTTATAAGGAGTAGATTCGAAAAATAAAGAGCGTGTTATTATTGTTCGGTGCGACAAATGAAGTGGAGACAGGTTATGGTGCAGGTTAAATGCGTGCGAGCCATGTTCGAGATTGGTCGGCTCGTCGATAATTTCCGAGACCCTTCGAGAGAATTTATTGTGAAAAGAAAGAAAATGTAAGATAACAAAGTTTCGCATCCGACAAATGAAGCTCCTCGAACTAGGAAAAATCTTCCAGCAATCGGCTAATTAAAACATGTCGGACATACTTTGACCGGGTATTTGACTTTTCCTACCATTATTTTCCTTTTCTTAATTTCGCCGAAGACCGCTTTAAGTAGTTGAACTACCTAGGAACTACGTCGGTAGTGCAATAGCCTACGCCTATCGAATCCCACAAAGTGACAAAGCTAAAAATAATTACACATCTTCCATCGAGGGCTACTTTCCTCTATTTTTTTCAAACACATCTCGTTGATAATTGCATCCGAGAGACTCGTTACCTTTACCTAATAAAGAAATATATACATTTTCAATGTATTTACTAGGCATAACATTATAAAAATAATGTTTTGAGGACGACTAAACCCTCTATAGTGTTTTCGAGACGATCGATCCTTTTAAAGCACATTTTTGCACCTCATACTTTGATTCTACATTCCACTTTGCACTCTAACCCTGGTTACTAAGGTCTCTTTATCTACGAAACTGTCATTTTCTTTTGAGAATACCGGCATGTAGATCCCAAATTCCTCAACCCTCTCAAAACCGATGGACTAAACTCAAACCCTAATCAGCCACCGCCATGGTGGCAACCTATGCAAAGCTTGCTTTCCAACTCTGCTTGACGCCATTCTCCACCACCTCACTCCTTCCTCTGCAAAGTTAGTTTTTCTCGAGTCTCTCTATTTTCTCTCCCCATCTCACTCCCTCACTAATGGTCGGTCATGGCGAGCTAGACGTGGGCCACTATGACCGTTCGACCTCGGATTGAGGTCACAACACCATTATCGACGGATTGAGGTCATTGAGGCCATGGTCGACCTCGATGAGGTCGCGATGCCATGGGCGAACTCGGATCAAGGCCAATGAGACGCGGCGACGTGCCACCTTTTGTGGTGGCCCTTCGTGGCGGTGGGTCCATCCCCTGCGGGCACAGCAATCTGAGGCCGTGGCAATGAGTAACGAAGGTGGGTTAGTGAGAGTTTATTTATTTGTAAAGACGAGGTAATCTTTACGGTTTGCGATTTCATTTAGAGGTACGAAAGTAGAGCATTTTTTAAGATAGAGAGAGAGAGTTACATAAGTGGTATTTAGGTGAATATTTATGTGCATTTCTGATATGTTGCCTAAAAAATATTGGCTTTCTTGCAAGCTACTCACTGATTTTATTTTATCTTTTTGCATTTTGTTAAATTACTTAATAAATGATATGTTCTCGGTCCCATAAGTGCTTCCCGAATCCCGATCATGTCTTAAAGAAAGTATTTACGAAATAGCATAGAATAGCTTCTCAACGAATTGTTTAGTGCTGGCATCATAAGGGAAAGTTTTTCTACTCGTGGAATAAACTATAGTATATAACTCTTAATCATAACATATTCGGCATTGATTCAAGGATCTATTCACATGCAATGTCAAGGAATATGTGCCCAAGACCATTAGGCATATAATTTACTATTGGATTCCTGATCTAAGTGGCTTGTGACTTTACAAATCGTCGTGCAAAAGGAGCCCATGTTAAGCCTCATTCCAAGGCGCATTAATCATAGATTAACCAATACTAGGGTTTCTTAAGAAATCATGTAAAGTTCACCTTTCTTTTATCGTAATGATGTTGGCGAGATGTTCATCGATTAGTGCTATTTTTAGAAGCAATCCCTCATGAGCGATTCCCTAGGTTTTGGACTCGATTGGTCTCCCAAATATGCGCAACTTAGCACCTCTTAAACTCATAAAGAACCCAAGAGCAGCGACCCACTCAAATGTTAGGTTTTTGAAAAATGGATGATAAAACTAATTTGGGAACCAC